ATATAAACAGTGATTCTTGCTGGGCGCGGTGGCTCACGCCTCTAATCCCAGCACTTTGGGAGGATGAGGTGGGTGGATCACAAGGTCAAGAGATCGAGACCATCCTGGCCAACATGGTGAAACCCTGTCTCTACTAAAAATACAAAAAATTAGCTGGGCATGGTGGCGCGTGCCTGTAATCCCAGCTACTCAGGAGGCTGAGGCAGGAGAATTGCCTGAACCCAGGAGGCGGACGTTGTGGTGAGCCGAGATCGTGCCATTGCACTCCAGCCTGGGTAACAAGAGCGAAACTCTGTCTGAAGAAAAAAAAAAAAAGTTTTGGTTCTGGTTATTTGCAAGCTTTTAATATGCATATCAGAAAGTGTTTTCTTTTCCACTCATCTGTGGGATCACCAGGGCTCCAATTAGGGTTTTCAAGAGGCATAGTCTTCCTATTGGGAATTGGGATTCTATCTCTTTTTAATTCTCTTTCCCCTTTTGACTGGAGTTTTCTTTTGACTGGCTATAGGAGACATGCTGTTCATCTCTGAATATCTCTGCTGGCTGTAGGGAGCTGCCTGTTTCTCTGCAACAGTTAGGATTTGGCTTGAAAGTAGCATAGCATCTCTCCATGTAAGATCGAACACTTGGGTTAGATTTTAGAAAGCCTCTATATATCTATCAGGGTAATCAGAGAACTTGCCTAGGTCCCCCTTTATTTGTCTAAGGTCCTGCAATGATAAGGGAACGTGAATTCTAGTAGCACCATGTCTATTCGGCATTTCTTGCAAAGGGAATGGCGATGTTGGCCATTCCCTTTTTGGAGAGCGTAGCTGGAGGGGCTCATTATATGGCTATCGGGGGCCCCAGATAAGGGAGGCAGATAGGGCACAGAGTTACATTTGAGGGTTCCCCAAGGGTTTGCCTCTCTGACTTTGGGGAATTATATTCTGTGGGTCTGCCACATACGGCTGCCAAGAGGGAAGGGTTAATTTTACAACACCTACCAAGTTCTGGGTTGTCTCACAGGGCAAAAAAAGATCTAGTTGTTAGTTTTAAAATTAATGTTTCCCTAAGGAGGCCAGGCCTCCTGTCTGTAAGATAGCCACACCCTTGTGCAATAGAATAAAAGCCATTTTTTTCTTGAGAGTCTCGTGGTCAAAGGAGTTCCAGTGTTTCAGAATGCACTTGAGGAGAGTGTGGACTGCAGATGGTTTGTCACCCAACTAGAAAGAGAAGGGAGACAAGGCTTCCCTCAGTCCCTTTTCTGCTTTCGAAGTGACCCAGGGTGGAGGGAAAGAAAGGTCTCCCTTTTCCTCTTTCCTCTGCCTCCTCTGGGTCCCAGCTATCATTATAGATGCCACCCATGGATGCAAGCATGACCTTCACCCATGCATCTGGAGGAGCTAGTCAGTACTAACGTGGTGCATAAAGCCCTAGCTTTCCGCCCTGTTGGTTTCCTAGACCAACTCAGCCCAAAAGGCTCCCGAAGTACCCCAGAGTCTGTTTAACGGAGAATGTGTCCTACCTAACACTACCTCTGACTTCCCTTGCAATGCCCCAGATAAACATCAGAATCTCAGAGAATGGGACAGATTGACTTCCAAACATAAAATTCCGTTTTGTTTAAATCCCATTCCAATGTTCTTGGATGCAGAACAGGTGCCTCAAAAGAATGTAAGGATTGAATGGCTGTCCTTCCTTTGAGGGGCCAATATTGAGGTTAAAATCTGTCTTGCCAGGATGGCTTCCTCCCAGGCACTGGGAGTGGAATTTTCCTGTCTACAAATAGGGCATGGGGCCCGATCACTGATAACTGGACATAAGAGGGAAAATAACTGCGTAACTATAAGTTTTGTACAGTTAACAAGGCTCGCCACCAAAAAAAAAAAAAAAAAAAAAAAAAAAAAAAAAGCCCATTCCACTATGTGGCGCTGTAGGATTATTAGAAATGCTAGGTAAAAACTGGCTCCAAATTCTCATAAAAAAGTTAGAAAGAGAGGTTTAGGGTTTAGTAGGCCGTCCCCACAGTACGCCTCCCAGCGGAAGAAAAATAACTTGTCTGATAGAAAGGCGGTCTAGTCCTCCTGGATAGTGCTGGCTTCTCACATGGGCAAAGAAACAGCCTAATGAAGCGGGAGATAGTTGTCTGGGGAGAAATAACCCCTGTCCAACCCCATTCAGTGCTGTCATTGAGAGATAAATAGGTCTTCAGATACAGGTCTTGGAAACCTCCCATTTCAACAAAACCACAGAGACAATTCATACTCATTGAATTAGAGTCCCAATTACTAAGTCACCGTCTGACTTTATCCAGCAAGATTATATTCCTAGGCTGTAGAAAACACCCGCAACATCGCATACAAAGAAGGGATAGGATGGCTGGGCATGGTGCCTCACACTTGTAATCCTAGCATTTTGGTAGGCTGAGGTGGGTGGATCACCTGAGGTCAGGATTTCTACACCAGCCTGGCCAATGTGCTGAAACCCTATCTCTACTATAAATACAAAATTAACTGGGCATGGTGGCGCATGCCTGTAACCCTCACTACTCAGGAGGCTAGGGCAAGAGAATCGCTTGAACCCAGGGAGCGGAGGTTGCAGTGAGTCAAGATCATGTATTTTTAGTAGAGACGGGGTTTCACCATGTTGGCCAGGATGGTCTCGATCTCTTGACCTTGTGATCCACCCGCCTCGGCTTCCCAAAGTGTTGGGATTACAGGCGTGAGCCACTGTGCCCGGCCCCAAATGCTGGGATTACAGGCAAAAGCTACTGTGTTCCACCTTTACCAAGTGTTCTAAGGGCTCACTTTGGATCCTTGGGAAAGGAGGGGTGAGGGCCCAGGGAAGGTAGCTGAGGAATGCAGGGGAGAAAGGGGAAAGAGCAGACAGGAGAAAGGAGAAGAGAGAGGGGGAGAAAGGGTGTGCGAGGGCCAGGATTCACCCTGACAATTCAGTGACTGCTTCCTGCCACCCAGGTTCCCACTGTGGCACCTTCCTGCCGGTGGTTTCCATCTCTTATTGATGGCCTAACAATTTGACTCTATAGGAAGGCCCTACCCTATTTGTCTGGCATGAGTCCTGGCAAAGTTTGTTTTCATCATTTGGGGGATGGGATGGGGATGCATAGGTTTGCAAGTTGACTAGGACCCAAGTCAGGACCTTGTTGAACCCCTCAAGAGTCAAGTGACAAGTAGCCTCCTTCCCCCGACTCCCCCTGCAAGACAGTTGCTTGTAGGACAAGGCCTGGAGAAGGCCAGGGTGGCCAAAGCCACAAAAATGCCCAGATATGAGTCCTGGTTGAAGGTGCCTTGGCTCATCTGTGTTGTCCAGGGCACACAGGGCAGGGACTCTGGGGGTCTGGCCAGGAGACTGAGCAAGAGAACCAGGGAAGGCTTGGGAAATAAAAGAGTGCTATCCTGAAAGCCCTGAGGAACACTGTCCAGGTGTTTTGCTACTTTAGCCCTACCCAGTTTCCCAGTATACCACGCCAGCATGTTGACCTATTTATTAATGTGGTCTGGGACACTGTCTGCATTATTGACTATTAGCGATTGTGCTGGGTGGTGCCTAAATTGTACCAGTGTCCCTATTATAACTATAATATCCCCTCCCAGCAAGGGGGACTGGCAGCTTGCTACTACTAGAAATTCCTGCTGGAAGATTTCTCAAATTGACAAAAGAGTAAAGAATCTTGCTTGTAGCTTTCCTTCCAGTTCCATGCTTGTGGACAGGGAGGGAAATTTTCCTGCATAAGCAGTAGGGCAGAGTAATTTGCCCCTGTATAAAGAAACCAAATCTAGGTGCCCATAACATCAAGTTACCCAGGGCTCCTCAACAGTAATGAATGACTTACCTGGGCAGGGGTGGTGAGGAAAGTCCTGGGCCCCATCAGTCCTCATCTAATTTCTCCTTTTGCATGGCTAGAGTTTTGACTGACCTCCTCTATGGGGGAAGGGACAGTCAATTCTCAAGTGCCAGGTACCGTTCCACTGACAGCAGGGTCCTGTTGGAGGCCTAGTACAGTCCTTTGCCCAATTCCCAAAGAGGATTCAAGAGGCCTGAAAGGCCAGGCATGGTGGCTCATGTCTGTAATCCCAGCACTTTGGGAGGCTGAGGTGGGTGGATCACGAGGTTAAGGGTTCAAGACCAGCCTGGCCAACATGGTGAAACCTCATCTCTACTAAAGATACAAAAAATTAGCTAGGTGCGGTGGCGTAATCCTAGCTACTCGGGAGGCTGAGGCAGAAGAATTGTTTGAACCCAGGAGGCAGACGTTGCAGTGAGCCAAGATCATGCCATTGTACTCCAGCCTGGGCCACAGGGTGAGACTCCATCTCAAAAAAAAAAAAAAGACCTGAATGAGTATGAGTTCGCCCTGAATAAACTACTGCTGCCAATGGTGTCACAGGTAGAAATCAGAGACTATAACCAGGAAAGATAGAAAAAGAGTCCTTCTCCCTTCTGGGCAGGGAAGCTATCCCCATTCACTTCTTGGCCTTCAGGTAACACTGGAGAGTGGCCTTGTCCAGTTGCCCTCAATTACCAAAGAGTTATTAGAAAGCAGTTGCTGAAAGGCTCAAAAAAAAAAAAAAAAAAAGAACCCAGGTCCCTCACCCAAACCGACAGTGGTCAGGTGCTTCCACGCGGATACCCTTCAGTCTCACTGGAAAGTGGCCCCAGCCAGAGACCGGCAGTTGCCTCCATGCTTAGACACTGTCCACTGAGAATTGAGTTGGAAAAGGGAATGAGAGAGAGAGAGAGAGAGGGGAAAGGGTTGTCCTGTATGGAGGGGAGGGAGCCCAGCACAGAGAGCTCCAGCCCATGCCCAAAAATGAAGGCATGGTAAGAGAGGAAAAGAAAAAGGGAAAAAGAAAAGAAAAATAAATCCCCAAATTTGGACTTACCTCCAGGCTGGTTCACCAAAATATGTTACTGGTGGAGAGTCTTGACTAAAGTTGTCCAGGTTCTCGGAATGTTGAATGAAGAATTAAACAAATTGCACGAATCAATGAAAAAAATGAAGCAATAAAAGCACAGATTTATTGAAGCAAAAGTATACTCCACAGAATGGGAACAGGATTACAGTAAGCTGCTCAGTAGCCTGGGTTGCAAAATCTTCCGGGGTTTAAGTACCCTTTAGAGGTTACCTATTGGTTACACCTTATGTACAACCAATCAGAGGCTGAAGTAAAGGCTCCCAGTCTCCAGACTCTGTTATCCTGCCTCAAGGAAAGCCAATGATTTCCTCTCAAGCATCTTCAGGTTCCATCTTGGCAATTTCCTCTGAAACCCCAGGGGAAGAGTTGTTTAGAGACTCCTGGATGCCCTGAGGCAGTGGCTCCAGAGTGTGTCTTCCTTCCTCTGTTTTCACAACAGTCCAGCGATAGGCACTGTTCTCTGACAATCCTTCTTGGCACTCTTTATCTGTAGTTGGAAGCCTTGGACTATGTTCTACTTTGGGGAAAACAGCAGCACAGAGAGGGGATAGTTCCTGTGGCTCTAATTTGGGTTCTAGGCCCTGAAAGGCATTTTTCCCATCAGCCACAGCACAAGCAATGTCCACATTCACTTGGGCCTTATCTTCAGAGGTGGATGATATAGGAAGATTCACAGAATTGCCAGAAACAATTAAGGGTGAGACAGAGGAGGCCACAAGCGGCTGGTTCAATGGACAGGGGAAGGAAGTAGGGTTGACCAAGAGGGTGGTGATGGGAATAGTCTGGGGACTCTGGGCCACAGCTGCATTGACAGGCTGGATCATGTTACAGCCACTGCCAAGGCTCACGATCTTCACAGTGGTAGCAGGAACAGTGAAGATAACAGGTGCAGGATGGATAACAGGGGCAGGTTTCATACAGGGAGAGGCCTTGGCTCCCCTTCTTTTTGAGGGTCTCCGTCTCACGTATGGCTTTCGAAACTTAGAAGGGGCAAGGGAGGGCAGCATTACCTTGGGCACAGGGGCAGAAGAGAGCAAAGTCTGGGACTCAGACAGAGGGAAGCTGGTCCTGGCCTCAGGGGGCATAGCAGGCAGTGCTGCAGGAGACTCAAAACCATCACCTCCACTCACCCCCAGTGGAGGGACGCCTGGAACTGTCTGTAAAACAGTGGCTGGCTGGATCAGGTGAGGAATCCAGACCATCATTTTGCTTGAAGGGGCTTCTGAATGAGTTGATCGGGCTGGTGTTTTCCCAGGGTTGAAGCTAGGCTGGAGAGAGGAGCTGGGTTGAATAAAAAGGGGCTTCGGGACTGATGAACGCCTCTGCCTCCAAGTCCTCCTGGGGAAACAGTTGGCAACCGGCTTCAGTTTCAGGACTACACCCTTAGGCAATAGCAGTGGGTACCGAGTTTTACTCCCCAACTCCGAGTTGTCTTTCTCTAGGCCTCCATCTGAGCTGATCTCTGTGGTTCCAGTCACATTTCCTACCTCTCTAGCACCATCAGCCATGTGCCGCAGTTCTTCCTGGATGGATGGCAGACTGGCCTATTGGAAACAAGAACACTCTGATCCAGCACATGTCAGAAACTGGGAAAAAGATAGGGCTTTCTAGGTTTTAGGGATCTGAGACAGTCTCAAGGCATCTTTCCCAGAAGGGACTCTGCATATCAAATTTCTACAAAGACCACATTCCAATTATACACTTTAGAGTCTCTTCTCTTCAGTGACCTTTTCCCTCCCACAGACTTTGAGGAAGAGGGTTGTACCTTTAACCAGAATGGGAGCCGGTGTTCTTCTCTCTCTATAGGTGGCTTCCACTGATGTGGCTGGATCTCTTCACAGCATTTTAATAAGACTGGTAGCTGTTTGGTCTTCTTATAAAACTTAACATGAAAAAAAAAAACAGCTCATGAGTTACATTCTTTCCAGAAACAATGCCCTCTGTCAGGCTAGTGAATGGGGCGGGTGGTGGGTTGAGAGAGACATACACACACCCTCTCTCACACACAAAACCACATACACAAGCATCCATATATATACATATGTAAATAACACATGCTGAATACTTGTACATTTCAAATTAAACTAATCTCTAAAGATTTTATAATTATTCATTATTTTCTAATTGATGATCTCTATTCTGGCTGCCAGGAGAATTTAGGTCATAGAGGGAAAAGGAAGCAGATAGAGCAGTTTTTTTTTTGTTTGTTTGTTTTTTGAGACGGAGTTTCGCTCTTGCTACTCTGGCTGGAGTGCAATGGCGCGATCTCAGCTCACCACAACCTCCGCCTCCTGGGTTCAGGCAATTCTCCTGCCTCAGCTTCCTGAGTAGCTGGGATTACAGGCACGCACCACCATGTCCAGCTAATTTTTTTGTATTTTTAGTAGAGACAGTGTTTCACCATGTTGACCAGGATGGTCTCGATCTTTTGACCTCGTGATCCACCCGCCTTGGCCTCCCGAAGTGCTGGGATTACAGGCTTGAGCCACTGTGCCCAGCTGCTAGAGCAGTTTTATTTAAGATTTCTTTCTTTTTTTTTTTTTTTTGAGACTGAGTTTCGCTCTTGTTACCCAGGCTGGAGTGCAATGGCGTGATCTCGGCTTACCACAACCTCCGCCTCCTGGGTTCAGGCAATTCTCCTGCCTCGGCCTCTTGAGTAGCTGGGATTACAGGCACGCACCACCATGCCCAGCTAATTTTTTGTATTTTTTGTAGAGACGGGGTTTCACCATGTTGACCAGGATGGTCTCGATCTCTTGACCTTGTGATCCACCCGCCTCAGCCTCCCAAAGTGCTGGGATTACAGGCTTGAGATTTGTTTCTGTTCAACAGCTGCAAAGACAGTATCATAATCTAAACCATGGACATATCAAAGCTTTTTTTCCCCCACACATATTCTGCTTATGTAATATTTGCTTAAGCTTTTAAGCAAATGATGGTGCAAAGGACATTAGAAGGGAAGAAAAAAAAAGACTGAGACAGTCCACTTTTAAGAGTAAATAGGCTGGGTGCAATGGCTCACACCTGTAATCCCAACAATTTGGGAGGCTGGCAGATCACTTGAGGAGTTTGAGACAGGCCTGGCCAATAAAGTGAAACCCCATTTCTACTAAAAATATAAAAATCAACCAGGTGTGGTGGTGGGTACCTGTAATCCCAGCTACTTGGGAGGCTGAGGCACAAGAACCAGTGGTTGAACCCAGCAGGGCACAGAGATAGCAGTGAGACAAGATCACGCCACTGTACTCCAGCCTGGGCAACAGAGTGAAACTCTGTCTCAAAAAAAAGGAGTAAATGCAGATGAGAACTGAACTTAAACCACTGACAAGCAACTGTTCATCCAACATACACGGAATGTTTTCTATGTCATACGCACTGTGCTAAAAGCTAAGCACACACATAGGGAAGCAATTACTGCTCTCAAGGAGCTTTATAGACTAGTGGGAGAGAGTCAAGTGGAACCATAATGACATCTTACCTTTAAAAACATACATCGAGTTATACAAAAAGACAGTTGCAGGTAAAAAAAAAAATACATAAAAAAACACACAAAGGGCTGGGCACAGTGGCTCAGGCCTGTAATCCCAGCTCTTTGTATAACATAAAGTGTTACACAAGAGTTATACGCTTGAGTAACAAAGTGTTACTCAAGAGTTAAATGGGGCTGTGGCTCATGCCTATAATCCCATTACTTTGGGAGGCCAAGACAGGATGATCACTTGACTCCAGGAGTTTGAGACCAGCCTGGCCAACATAGCAAGACCAAGTTAAAAAAAAAAAATTACTTGGCCATAGTGGTGCATACCCAGTTGGAGTCAGCAGTGAGCCACGATTGAGCACACTCCAGACTGGGCAAAAGGGTGGCACCCTGTCTCAAAAAATAAAATAAAATAAGTTAAATGGCATAAAATTTCTAAACACTACACTAAGAGCTAGAAGAAAATGAAGTGAGGCACTTAAAAGCTTCTTAAAAAAATTATTTCCTACCTACAATTTTAGATACAGTGACAGAAGAGAGTATTATTTTTTCCTTTTATTTTGAAATAGTCATAGGAAATTGCAAAAAAAATAGCAGCAAGAGATCCCATGTACTCTTCAACCAGTTTTTCCCAATATAATATTTTTATGTTATATAGTACCAAGAGTTATATATGTAAACCAGGTATATGGTACAATATTAATACTAGGAAACCAGCTGGGCATCCCAGCATTTTGGGAGACCAAGGTGGGGGGGATCACCTGAGGTCAGGAGTTCAAGACCAGCCTGGCCAACATGGCGAAACCCTGTCTCTACTAAAAATACAACAATTGGCCTGGTGTGGTGGTACACACCTGTAATCCCAGCTACTCAGGAGGCTGAGGCAGGAGAATCACGTAAACCTAGGAGGCAGATGCTGCAGTGAGCAACAGTGAGACTGTGTCTCAAAAAACAAACAAAAAAACTGTAACAAACAAACCAGGAAACTGACAATTTGAACTGACAATTCAAAAGACCATGAATAGAGATGGTTTAAATGTGAAAATTCCCTTCCCAAGCACTCTCGCTCAGAATGCTACTGGAAAGGGGCCAGGCAGGGTGGCTCACACCTGTAATCCCAGCCCTTTGGGAGGCTGAGGCAAGTGAATCGCGTGAGGTCAGGAGTTCAATACCAGCCTGACCAACATGGTGAAACCCCTTCTCTATCACAAATACAAAAATCAGGTGTGGTGGCCGGTGCGCCTGTAATCCCAGCTACTCGGGAGGGTGAGGCAGGAGAATTGCTTGAACCTGGGAGATGGAGGTTGCAGTTAGCTGAGCTCGCACTACTACATTCCAGCCTGGGCAATAAGAGTAAAACTCCATCTCAAAAAAATAAAATAAAATAAAAAAAAGAAGAATTAATACAAAGCAAAGACGTGGAATTCAGGAAATAAGAGGATCCAACATAGTAAGAAGCAAAAGGAATTCCCAGGATGATGATGAAGAAACAGCCCAAGAAGACATCAGTGCAACAAGCCTGGAGAGCAACATGCTTAGAGTGGAATAGTGTCAGAGGGCTCAGGGAGCAATTTCCTCTAGATAAAAGTGACAGAATATCTAGAATTCCTCAACACACTGAAAGATGATGATCTGGGAAACAAAATGCTCAGCAGGAAAGGCAAGGTAATCACAGTAATATAGTTGAGCTGTGAAGAGCATTTATATAGTCCTTACAATCTTACAATGTAAACCCTGAATACAATCTAACCAAAATTGTACCATAATTACTAGTGAGGAGTTTGGAGAGCAGAAAATGTGCATGTTTGTGGTGGGAGTAAGAAAGTGATGAGAGAGGTAAATCCTCAGCTTCTGTGGTTTATGGTTAATAAATAAGGCCTAAATCCAATACACCAGGAAGTAGCATTTAGAGGATGAAACAGGAGAAATCCCTAAGGCCCAAAATTCAAGACCAGCCTGGGCAATATAGGGACACCCATCTCTAAAAAGAAATTTTTTTTTTTGCCAGTTACAGTGGCTCACACTGGTAATCCCAGCATTTTGGGAGGCAGAGGTGGGCAGATCACCTGAGGTCAGGAATTCGAGATCAGCCTGGCCAACATGGCAAAATCCCATTTCTACTACAAATATAAAAATTAGCTAAGAGTGGTAGCGCGTGCCTGCAGTCCCAGCTACTCAGGAGACTAAGGAAAGAGGATCACTTGAACCTGGTAGGCAGGGGTTGCAGTGAGCCGAAATTATGCCACTGCACTCCAGCCTGGGTGACAGAGTGAGACAGTCTCAAAAAAAAAAAAAAATTTAATGTCCAAGCACAGTGGCTCATATATATAATCCCATTTCCTTAGGAGGCTGATGTCGGAAAAATGCTTGATCCTAGGAGTTCAAGGCTGCAGTGAACTATAACTGTACCACTGTACTCCAGCCTGGGTAAGACCTCGTCTCAAGAAAAATATGAAAACAAAACAAAACCCAAGGATGGGCACTGCAGCTCACACCTGTAATCCCAACACTTTGGGAGGCAAAGCTGAGGCAAGAGGACTGCTTGAGGTCAGGACTTCAAGACCAGCCTGGGCAACAAAATGACACCATTTTCACATAAAATAAAATAATTGGCCGGGCGCAGTGGCTCATGCCTGTAATCCCAGCACTTTGGGAGGCTGAGGCGGGTGGATTACGAGGTCAAGAGATCGAGACCATCTGGTCAACATGGTGAAACCCCGTCTCCACTAAAAATACAAAAAATTAGCTGGGCACGGTGGCATGTGCCTGTAGTCCCAGCTACTCAGGAGGCTGAGGCAGGAGAATTGCCTGAACCCAGGGGGCGGAGGTTGTGGTGAGCCGAGATCGCGCCATTGCACTCCAGCCTGGGTAACAAGAGCGAAACTCTATCTCAAAAAAAATAAAATAAAATAATTAGCTAGCCTTGGTGGCATGCACCTATAGTTCAAGCTACTCGGAAGGCTGAAATGGAAGGATCACCCAGGAGTTTGAGGCTGCAGTGACCTGAATGTGCCAACACACTCCAGCCAGGATGACAGAGCGAGAACCTGTCTCTAAAAATAAATAAGTATCTACTTTAAAAAGGCCAGGCGCAGTGGCTCATACCTGTAATCCCAGCACATTGGGAGGCCAAAGTGGGTGGATCACCTGAGGTCAGCAGTTCGAGATCAGCCTGGCCAACATGGTGAAGCCCTGTTTCCAATAAAATACAAAAATCGGCTGGGCATGGTGGCAGGGGCCTATAATCCTAGCTATTCGGGAGGCTGAGGCAGGAGAATCACCTGAACCCAGGAGGCAGAGGTTGCAGTGAGCCGAGATCGCACCACTGTACTCCAGCCTGGGTGACAAGGGCGAAACTGTCTCAATAAACAAACAAACAACCAACAGTTAAGAAAAAGTATATAGGCCGGGCACCGTGGCTTATGCCTGCGGATCACTTGAGGTCAGAAGTTCAAGACCAGCCTGGCCAACATAATGAAACCCGGTATCTACTAAAAACACAAAAAATTAGCTGAGTGTGGTGGTGGCACCTTGTAATCTCAGCTACTTGGAAGGCTGAGGCAGGATAATCACTTGAACCTGGGAGGTGGAAGCTGCAGTGAGCCGAGACTGTACCACTGCCCTACTGTACTCTTGCACCCCAACCTGGATGACAGTGTGAGAGTCCATCTGACCAAAAAACAAAGCAAAACAAAAAAACAAAGCATATATGTAGAATACTGCATATCATTTCTAGAAAGTTCAAGAAAGAGAATTATTTGTGAACATGTATTTGTGAAATCTTTTAGGTGATGAAGACACTCCAGAGGAGCATAGTGAATAAATCAATGTCCCTGAAAAGGCAACAGGGGAATGTATTGTAGAAGTGGGAGAAATTAGCTTTAGATAAAAGAAGGTCTGTCTTTTCTTTGAGAATAACAAGAGAAAAGAATGGGTACCTATTGGTGAGGTGCCCAGATGGCACATGAAGAAAACACTCACTTTAATGATGTTGTCAGGAGCTCTGTTCAGGTTGAGGTTCTTGATTCTCACCGTCAGTTGTTGGGCAGTCTTGCAGGTTAGAAGGTACGTGCTGATTAGAGGATTAGGAAACTCAGTCCCTTCAAAATGCTTCAGTCCTAAAGCTAACAAACTGAGAAAAGAACAATGACACTAAATCTCACTTCATAGTCCTTCCTTCTAAAATACCTCCCAGACTAACAGATTTTACAATCTATTTTTCTATTTTATTTTTTCTTGGGACAAGGTCTCATTCTATCACCCAGGCTGGAGTGCAGTGGCACAACTGCAGCTCACTGCAGCTTCTGCTTCCTAGGCCAAAGTCACTGCCCAGTCTCAGCCTCCCAAAGTGCTGGGATTACAGGTATGAGCCATGGCATATGGCCCAATCTACCTTTTCATTTTTTTTCAGACAGGGTCTTGCTCTGTTGTCCAAGCTGGAACGATTACGGCGCACTGCAACCTTGACTGCCTGGGTTCAAGCGATTCCCACACTTTAGCCTCCTGAGTATCTGTTATGAACACCGTAAATGTTCGCTACCACGCCTGGCTAATGTTTCCTTTCATTATTTGTAGAGACCAGTTCTCACTATGTTGCCCAGGATGATCTTGGACTCTTGTCTCAAACGATCCTCCTGCCTCAGCTTCCCAAAGTGCTTACATTACAGGTTTAAGCCACCATGCCGGGCCAATCAACTTTTTCTTTTTTTCTTTTGAGACAGTCTTGCTCTGTCACCCAGGCTAGAGTACAATGGCACGATCTCGGCTTACTACGACCTCCACCTCCTGGGTTCAAGCAATATTCTCTTGCCTCAGCCTCCTGAGTAGCTGAGATTACAGGTGCCTGTCACCAAGCCCAGCTAATTTTTGCATTTTTAGTAGAGACGGGGTTTCACCATGTTGGCCAGGCTGGTCTTGAACTCCTGACCTTGTGATCCACCCGCCTCGGGCTCCCAAAGTGCTGGGATTAGAGGTGTGAGCCACTGCACCCAGCTGAAAATCTACTTTTTCTACATCTAATTCTGGTATAAGCTGGTGACTACTCAGTAGTAAATTTCAGATATTTAGTGAATACTGACTGATTAAGCATTATGAATAAGAATCAAATAGTTCACAATTAAGTGGGAGCAAGACTAGGCATAAATCATTAACAAACTTTAGATCATGATGAGCTGTATACTAACAATACAAAGGAAGTTCAAAGAGAACACAAAGGAAGGAGAATGATTCTAATAAAACAAACATAAAATGAATACTAGGTACCCTATCAGACAAATTAAACTGGCACCAATACTACCCTCTGGCATAAAATATATAATCATGGTTACATATATACATATTTGCTGATAATAGTGTGGCAATTCACACAAAGGGCATAAAAATGTTCATAATCCGGCTGGGTGCGGTGGCTCATGCCTGTAATTCCAGCACTTTGGGAGGCCAGGGTGGGCAGATCATTTGAGGTCAGGAGTTCAAGAGCAGCCTGGGCAACATAGAGAGACCCTCACCTATACAAAAAAAATTAGCCATGTATGGTGGCACATGCCTGTGGTCCCAGCTACTCCATGCAGGCTGATGGGGGAGGATCGTTTGATCCCAGTAGCTCAAGACTGCAGTGAGCTGTGACTGCACCACTGCACTCCAGCCTAGGTAACAGAATAAGACCCTGACTATAAATAAATAAATAAATAATAATATAAAATAAAAGCGAACCTTCTGCCTTGGCCTTTCAAAGTGTTGGGACTATAGGCGTTAGCCATCATGCCCTATATAAAAGTTTTTAGAAATGTGTGTGGCATCTCCCAAAAAAGCAGTATTTGGCACTGCTAGAAGAAGCATGTCCTAGAGAACTCTGCTCATCTATACTGCTTTTCCTTTTGTCTTTTGTGTGTGTCTTACTATACAAGTCTTACTTCCCCTAAACTCCTCAAAGGAACTATGTCTTCTCCTTGGGATATTCTGCTGTTTTGATCCCCCAGAGTAAACACTTACTTGTCCTCAGCCTTGGTGAAGAGGATCTTACCCTGGGGATTCTTTGCCTTCAGGGAACACACTGGAAGTAACTCTGGATACATGAAAACCTTGCTTGTGGCCAGGATCCAAGCCACTTGCTCTGGTAAACAGGGAAATTCATTGGCTGTAAGAAAATAAATCTCTGATAAATCAATTTCTAGGGCAAAAGAGGGCTTCATAAAAGCCTGTAAATGCATTTTTGCATTTAGGTAGAGCTGTCCTTATCTAACTTGATTGCCTCCCATCTGCCCACCATCCTCAAAAAGTTTCCAGCCTTTCTTCAGCTAATATTATGTCAAAGGAAACCCATTCAATGGCAATACTAGTTGACTCTCTTATTCTCTCTTTTTTTTTTGAGACGGAATCTTGTTCTGTCACCAGGCTGGAGTGCAGTGGCGTGATCTCAGCTCACGGCAACTGCTGCCTCCCAGGTTCAAGTGATTCTCCTGTCTCAGCCTCCTGAATAGCTGGGACTACAGGCATGAGCCGCTACACCCATCTAATTTTTTATATTTTCAGTAGAGATGGGATGGATTTCACCATGTTGGCCAGGGTGGTCTTGATTGCTTGACCTCGAGATCCACCTGCCTCACCTCCTAAATGCTGGGATTACAGGCGCGAGCCACTGTGCCTGGCTGACTCTCTTATTCTTTCTGTGAGGAACACTTTAGTCACTAAGTAAAACAAACACTTAAAAAGCACCTAGTAATACCTGGCACATAGTGTATGCTCAAAAATTTTTACCTCCCTCCCCCTTTAAATCCTTGAAAGATAAGAGACCTTCAACAATGCTTTCTTCCAGGATAAGATGCCAACTTCTTTAATCTCCCTCACAAATCTGTATTACAAATTTTACTTTTATTTGATCCTTACTTAACTTTAAGTTCTCCCAGATTCCTCCGGAGGTTGGGAACAACAGAACCATAAAAGGAATGAGACAATTCAGTCTCGTTCATTTCTGTCTCCCTCTCTCAGGCTCTCAATTTCAGGCACCTCTGCATTTCTACAGACAAAACTACTATATCCATATTTCTTCTTCTGTAACTGTTATTTTTATATTTCTAGAAGAAAAACAGAGTACACTAGATGTGCAAGGTATTACTATAATTTGGTGTTAAATCAGGTTTTCATTACCATTTCATATCATTTAATACAGCTATTAAAGTAGTTAGGGATCCATGTCTATGATATAATATATATAAATTCAACTATATTCAATTTAACGATAAGACTCAAGGATTTAAAATAGAATCCAAAGACAAACCCAAATCCAGAACAAACCACAACTAATTTGCTGTATCAGGAAACAATCAGAAGCAAATATTTGGCTTAAGTAAACAGCAAACATTTTCTCAAAAAAATACTAACTCAATCCAAGGTAGAATCTACCCCTGCAAATTTCTTTAAAATATTGAACATTGCAAAAGTACAATCTCTAACTTGTGCCTACCTCCCAAATCAACATTGAATTCAGAATGGAGATATCACTTACACTATAGTCAGTAGGGTAAATACAATTTGTTGATCTTAATGAAGAGTAAAAACCTGAAGATGACCAAATTTTACCACCTGACTTTCATCTTTACCAGGCCCAGTTTGTCTTCATTTGCCTCTTAATACGTACCCCTCATATTGCTGAATTCCAATTCTTAGCACTGAGCCTCAGATCTCTACCTCCCATATTCCTATCCTGTCCACTGCCTCCATGCCTTACCCAGGCCCAGAGATTATCATGTAATTCTAGAACTCATAATGAGTACAAAGGGAGAATAAAAGAGAGAAGGAAGAAATGACAAATGTCCTGTGTCCTCCATTCTTAGGTAAGTATCCTAGGAAGTTATCTATGGGATAAGATTCCCACCACCTCTCACCGCAAGTAAAAACTTAAAGCTGACACATCTGTCTCCTACCAGTCTCCTTGACAGTTTTATGAGGGCTGCAGTCAATGCTGACATGTGTGTTGAAGTCTTCAATAAGCTGCATAGCTCCCATCAAGTTACAGGGTTGGAACAGGGTCTGAAACTTGGGGTTGTACTGATGGTGAAGGGCGATGGAGCTTTGAGCAAAGGTTCCCAGCTCTTTCTGGGAAAACAGGACACAAAGAAGATCTAAGACAATTCCAGACAATACCAGCAGCCTTTAAAATCTAAACAAGAGGCTGGGTGCGGAGGTTCAGGCCTGTAATCCCAGCACTTCAGGAGGCTGAGGCAGGTGGATCATGAGGTCAAGAGTTCAAGACCAGCCTGGCCAACATGGTGAAACCCTATCTCTACTAAAACTACAAAAATTAGCCAGATGTGGTGGCACACACCTGTAATCCCAGCTACTCGGGAAGCTGAGGCAGGAGAATTGCTTGAATCCAGGAGGCAGAGGTTGAAGTGAACTGAGATCGCGCGCCATTGCACGCCAGCCTAGGTGACAGAGCAAGACTCTGTCTCAAAAAAAAACTGAAACAAGAAGCTGACCCTTCCTACTACAGGGTAAAACAATAAATATTACTCCATTAAGACTCCTCTTTGAGTTATCAGATATTCAGGGATTGTATTCTTGTTTTATTTTTAAACTTGATATTTCTCACTAAGGAATATGTGGTCTAGCTCCCAAGCTAGAATTAAGAGTCTCAAGAATGAGGACTACTAATTAATTAATTTATTTTGAGACAAAGTTTCACTCTGCCGCTCAGGCAGGAGTGCAGTGGCATGATCTCAGCTCACTGCAATATACTCTTCCCAAGCTCAAGCCATCCTTCCACTTCTGCTTCCCATGAAGCTGGGACTATAGGCATGCACTTCCATACCTAGCTAATTTTTGTATTTTTTGTAGAGATGGGGTTTTGCCATGTTGGCTAGGCTGATCTTGAACTCCTGGGCTCACAATTCGCCTGCTTCGGCTTCTCACAGTGCTGAGATTACAGGCATGAGCCACTGCCCCCAACCAGGACCATTACTTTTAAAATCATTTTGTCTTTTGAGCTCAAAATAATGCCTACAACAAAGTACTCCTCATCATCCTCTGAAAACAGTAACAGGTGAAGACATTGTGTTGATCACCAAGGAAATTTTAGAGTACTAGCAAATATACTCTTAAACTCCAAAAAGTCTTACTGAAGAAGCTGAGAATGTTTAATTATCATTATCTGCACAAAAGTTCAGAGCAATTTTTATAAGTTAAAATTTGTTTCTGTGACACAGGCTCTCACTGTCATTCAGGCTAGAGTGAAGTATAGTGGTATAACCATAGCTCACTGCAGCCTCAACCTCCCAGGCTCAATTTATCCTCCTACCTCAGCCTGCCAAGTTGCTGGGACTACAGGAACTCAGGGACTTGGTACAATCCCCAAGTAATTTTTAAAAAATTTTTTTTGGTAGAGATGGGGTCTTACTATGCTGACCAGGCTGGTCTCAAACTCCTGGGCTCAAGCAATCTTCCCACCTTGATCTACCAAAGTGCTGGCATGAGCCACCATAACTGCCTAAATTTCAAATTTAAAAGCTCTTCCTCCAAAATACCTCAAAATGTCCTGAGCAAAACTAGCTCTACACATCACACACTAATATTGTGCTTAATAAATGGATAATAAATTCAACATCTATATGTATTATTTACAATTTATTTAAAATTCTTTTAAACAAAGAATACAGTCCAGGTCTTACTTGTTGCCCAGGCTGTTCTTGAACCCCTGGGCTCAAGTGATTTGACCACCTCAGCCTCCCAAAGTGCTGGAATTACAGGCATGAGCCACCATGCCCATCCTGAACATTTATAAAATGAATAGCGGTACCAAAAACCTACGAAGTCAGGGTGGATCTAAAGATGAGGAGGACCCAATAAAAATATCAGAAGGACAGGCCAGACACAGTGGCTCACGGCTGTAATCCCAGTACTTTGGGAGGCCAAGGCGGGCATTTCACTTGAGGTCAGGAGTTCGAGACCAGCCTGGCCAACATGGTGAAACCCTGTCTCTGCTAAAAATACAAAAAAATTACCCAGGTGTGGTGGCGTCCACCTGTAGTCCCAGCTACTTGGGAGCCTGAGGCAGGAGAATCACTTGAACCTGGGAGGCAGAGGTTGCAGTGAACTGCGATTGTGCCACCGCACTCTATCTTGGGTGAAAGAGCAAGATCCTGTCTCAAAAAAAAGAAAAGGGGCCGGGCGCAATGGCTCATGCCTATAATCCCAGCACTTTGGGAGGCTGAGGCGGGTGGATCACCTGAGGTCAGGAGTTTGAGATAAGCCTGGCCAACCTGGTGAAACCCTATCTCTACTAAAAATACAAAAATTAGCTGGGCATGGTGGTGGGTGCCTGTAATCCCAGCTACTCAGGAGGCTGAAGCAAGAGAATTGCTTGAATTCAGGAGGCAGAGGTTGCAGTGAGCCAAGATCATGCCATTGCACTCCAGTCTGGGAGACAGAGCGAGACTCCATCTCAAAAAAAAAAAAAAAAAAGAAAGAAAAAAGAAAAAACGGAATACACTTTGTCCTTTTATGTGAATCAGTGGCTCATGTTCACTCAGCAAACATAGGAAGCCATAACAGAAAGTAGGCACAGCAATAAAAAATACCTGAAAGAAAAATAATTGTGAGAAATAACCTGCCAAGCTAATTTCATATTCTAGTCTTTAGAATTAGGGATATTTGGAACCTTACAAGAAATATCCTGGTGGTACTGGCCTCTGGATTGAGATTGGGGTCGCAGGTGGCAAGAAGGTGGATTTGGGTCAAGAGCTGAACATGCTGGGGAGAGAAAGAAAATAATGCAGTGACATGTTATGACATTGTGATTTCAGGAACCCAGAGAGATTTTTTCCTTCCCTGGAGATAGGGTCATGCTGTCATGCAGCTTGGAGTGCAGTGGTGCCATGATGACTCAATGCTCTCTCAACCTCCTGTGCTCAACCAATCCTCCCACCTCAGCCTCCCAAGTAGCTGGGACCACAGGTCTATAACAGCATTGCCTGGCTTATTTATTCATTTTATTATTACTTTTTTTTTTATTGAGATGGACTCTCACATTGTCGTCGGGGCTGGAGTGCAGTGGCATGATCTCAGCTCACTGCAACCTCTGTCTCCCAGGTTCAAGTGATTCTCTTGCCTCAGCCTTCTGAGTAGCTGGGATTACAGGCATCCTCCACCATGCCCAGCTAATTTTTTTATAATTTTAGTAGAGACAGGGTTTCACCATGTTGGCCAGGCTGGTCACCCACCTCGGGCTCTCAAAGTGCTGGGATTACAGGCGTGAGCCACCGCGCCCAGTTTATTTTAATTTCTTTGTAGAGATGGGGTCTCGCTATGTTGCCCAGGCTGCTCTTGAACTCCCAGCTCAAGTAATCCTCCCACCTCAGCCTCCCAAAATGCTTGGATGACAGGTGTGAGCCACTGCACCCAGCTTCCAGAGAGACATTAACCAAGATATTTGCAACTTTATCACACCTATTTTGCCTTCTGGAAAGAGTACAAGAACACAGAATCTTGGCATGTATTTCTCAGACATGTTCCCTTGAATAAAATGACAGCACCAGAGGAAGTTTAACCCCAAACCAGAGGAAATGAGATTAAAAAAAGGAAAAACAACAGTGAAGGTTGTTAAATTTCAAAACAGATTACTAAGGACCCTTTGAAATCTGTAATTCCGAATACCATAAGGGTCCGTATGTGTTGTCTTCCCTGAGCCGTAACTGATGTGAAGATACTACAGTTTTTTTTTTTTTTTGAGACAGAGTTTCACTGTTGTTACCCAGACTGGAGTGCAATGGCACAATCTTGGCTCACCGCAACCTCCGCCTCCTGGGTTCAAGCAATTCTCCTGACTCAGCCTCCTGAGTAGCTGGGACTACAGGCGCGCACCACCATGCCCAGCTAATTTTTGTATTTTTAGTAGAGACGGGGTTTCACCTTGTTGACCAGGATAGTCTCAATCTCTTGACCTCGTGATCCACCCACCTCGGCCTCCCAAAGTGCTGGGATTATAGGTGTGAGCCACCGCGCCCGGCTGATACTATGGTTTTAACAGGTAGTAAGGTAACTATTTCTACTTTTACAAAGCTGCTAATTTTGGATTGTACCAAAGCCTCAGAGTTAGGCTGTGGTATAATCCAACATTAACATGACCAAGAAAAGTATTACCTGCTGCATCTGCTGCTGGAGTCTCTTCCGCTGTCCTGGGTCCAGAATCAGAGTCTGATAAACTTCCTTACACTGGAGTTTAACCTCCGGCTGCTCTTTTGCTGAAGATTTCTTCATCTTCAGCTGTTTAAATAGCTCCTTCACTGTCTGATGTTGTTCATTTAGTAGGTTGGCCAGTGGTTCCTCAAACCTATTCCCAAACAGGGAGATGACTGAGTGAGTGTTTTCGTAGGTACACAACACATCCAATTCTTTCCAATGATAAGCAAAGAGCCTGAACAATGTTCACTTTCTGCTAATCCCCCATTTCACTTTAGCCAACAGTCAAACTCCCAGTCTTATCCAAATCTTTTCCCAAAGTAGTTAGCATGCATCAAACATGAAAATTCTGTATTATACTTCATCCCATTCTTCTACAATTACTCTTCCAAATAATATACAAATGAAGAATAAATTAAACAAAAATCTATGAACAGAGAAATATCTGGTAAGAGAAGAACAATCCAAGATGGCTGATCGCTAACATCTCGGGATTGCAGCTCCCAGTGAAACCGCAGAGAACAAGACGACACCACACTTTCAGACAAATTTTTGTCGCTCACAGACCAGAAGATTCCCAGTGGAGGAGCCCCACGGGTTGCCAGCGTGACTCTTGTGGCCGGCGCAGCAGTTTTGCCAGCACCTCAGCGCGGCAGCTCTTGGTGCAGAGTAAACGGGACTGGTTCCCCTTCTGACCGACATTTGGAGCTCCGGGAAGGCAGAGTTGCCTATTATGAACTCAAGAAGGAAGCCAGACTGGAGATTCTCGGGCAGAAAAGCACCATCAGTCTTAACGCCGCTGTTTTGGCCGGCACAGTGGGTTGCTCAAATTTTAAATCAACAAAGATATAATGGTAAAATATGGAGAAAATACTAAGGGCAGCCAGAGAGAAAGGTCAGGTTACCCACAAAGGGAAGCCTATCAGACTTAACAGCAGATCTCTCAGCAGAAACCCTACAAGTTAGAAGAGAGTGGGGGCCAATATTCAACATCCTTAAAGAACAGAACTTTCAGCCCAGAATTTCATATCCAGCCAAACTAAGCTTCACAACTGAAGGAAAAATATAATCTTTTATGAACAAGCAAGTACTCAAGAGATTTTATTACCACCAGGCCTGCTTTACAAGAGCTTTTGAAAGAAGCATTACACATAGAAAGAAACAACCAGTATCAGCCTTTCTAAAAATATACCAAAAAGCAAAGAGCATCAACATAAAGAAGAATTTACATCAACGAATGGATAAAACAGCCAGTTAACATCAAATGGCAGTAATCCTAAATTTAAATCGACTAAATCCCCTAATCAAAAGATACAGCCAAAACCCAACGGTATGCTACATCCAGACCCATTTCACATGCAAGGATACACAAAGACTCGAAACAAAGGGATGGAGAAAGATTTACCAACTAAATGGAGAGCAAAAATAAATAAATAAATAAAAAGTAGGAGCTGCAATTCTCGCATCTGATAAAATAGATTTTAAAGCAACAAAGATATAATGGTAAAAGGATCAATGCAACAATAAGAGCTAACGATCCTAACACTAGGATACATAAGACCTATAAAGAGACTTAGACTCAACGAGACAGAAAATTAATAAGGCTATCCAGGACTTGAACTCAGATCCGGAACAAGTAAACTTAATAAATATTTATAGAGCTCTCCACTTTAAATATACAAAATATACATTCTTGTCAATATCACATCACACCTACTCATAGGTTTAAATGAAATATTGATTGGCCTTTATTAATACCCATTTTTAGAATAAAGCAACATTTCTGTTCTCTCTCCTTTTCTTCCTCTTTCTTCCTCTCCTTCACTCCTTTTTTTCTTTCCCTAAAAAAAAAAGAAATATCTGGTAAGAAAGCAGCCAAGTAGCTGGTGGGAACTCGTCATTCTCATTTCTTCTCTCATTTACTTGTTACTTCCATTCCAGGTCCAGCTTGTCCCAATATCCTATCCACTCAGGGTACACTGCTTTGCTTTCTTAACAAGTCAAAGATCTTCTACTGTGAAGCAGGAAAAGATATACCAAAATAACTAAAGTACATGATAGTTTAAATGAACAGAAGCAAGAAGTTAGTTCAAATATTACCATATTGCTCTCCACGAAGGCTATCTTCTTTTATCCCTTTAAATTCCTCTTGCAAGGTTCCTAACCCTAACTACCCTTTGGAAAGACTGTTTGCAGGGCAGAAGCAAAAGTTCAAATTCCTAGTGTGTCAGTTCTGAAGTAAAGGGAGAAGAAGACACCTAAGCGATTAAGTACATGCTGATACCCTATGCAATCAGAATAAGATCTGCTGAAGTAGCTAAAACAAGCAAGTTATCCTATTTCAAGGAACTCCCTATTTCACAGCAATAGTTAAATGATAACTTTTTTCAATAGTTGCTGCAGATAAAGATTACATTTTCTTTTATAATATTTACTGTGGGTTTGGGCAGCACAGAGGAAAAACCTAAGGACTGTGGGATTGTCTATACAATCTTTTCTGAGAACTGCAAACCTGAACATCTGCACTACCACAACTGAAGAAACAGAAGAGCAGAAGCATAAAAAAGTAGACAATGGAAACATAGCCTGCACTTAGTTTTAATAAGTACTATTTAGATTCACTGATAAAAGAAGCACATATAACTTACCTTCCCAGGGTTTTTGTTTTGACTGTCTTTTCTTCTTCCTCTCTCTCTTATTGTGTTTTAAGATGTTTTTATGGGCTGGGCGTGGTGGCTCATGCCTGTAATCCCAGCACTCTGGGAGGCCCAGGCAGGTGGACCACCAAGTCAGGAGATAGAGATCATCCAGGCTAACACCATGAAACCCTGTCTCTACTAAAAATACAAAAATTAGCTGGGCATGGTGGCATGCACCTGTAGTCCCAGCGATTCAGGAGGCTGAGGCAGGAGAATCACTTGAAACAGGAGGCGGAGGTGACAGTAAGCCGAGACTGTGCCTCCAGCCGATACTCCAGCCTGGACGACAGAACGAGACTCCGTCTCAAAACAAAACAAAACAAAAGATGTTTTTACTATCTATGGCCTTACAGAATCCAGGATTTTTATTTATTCAAAGATTAAAACAGTTTATATTTGCAACAGAAAGAGAAGCAGCAGTTGCCCAAGTACAGTCATGTGCCACATAATGTTTCAGTCAATAATGAACCACATAGGCCGGGCGCAGTGGCTCACCCCTATAATCTCAGCACTTTGGGAGGCCGAGGCGGGTAGATCACGAGGTCCAGAGATCGAGACCATCCTGGTCAACAAGGTGAAACCCCATCTCTACTAAAAATACAAAAATTAGCTGGGCATGGTGGTGTGCGCCTGTAGTCCCAGCTACTCAGGAGACTTAGGCAGGAGAATTGCTTGAACCCAGGAGGCGGAGGTTGCGGTGAACCGAGATTGTGCCATTGCACTCCAGTCTGGGTAACAACAGCAAAACTCCGCCTCAAAAAAAAAAAAAAAAAAAAGAAAAAAGAAAAAGAACCACATATACCCAGGTGGTTCCGTAAGATTACTGTATCTTTCATATGTTTACATTCACATGTTCTTACCATTGTTACAATTGCTTAACTGTACAGTACAGTACAGTACCATGCTGCAAAGGTTTGTAGTCTGGGAGCAATAGGTATACAGTAGACAAAACCATTTGTTTATGTAAGTGCATTCTATGATGTTTACACAATGATGAAATTGTTTAAAGATACATTTCACAGAGTGTATCACCATGAGATGATATATGACTATATTCCACTGAATACCAGAAGGTAACTGAATTCTAATAAGAATTTTAAATTAGTTCTATACTTTCCAAATTTTAAGAAGTTACAAAGAGCTGATCAGCAAAACCAAAATGCATACTGATCAAATCCCATTATATGTTCCCAGGACAAATGGCTCCATTCTGCTATACCAGAATTTTGTTCTATGAACCATAACTTAAAATACTAAGTCAAATACTGACTTAAAAGTCTTGAGAATTTTGGTGTAGTTGTATTGTGATATTTGTTGTAATGGTGAATGACTGGCATTTCTAGTTTTCAGACATTGGTTGGCATATCTTTTTCACTAAATTGGAAGCTCCCTAAAGGCCTAGGTTTCAGATGGATCCCAAGCTCTCTACTTAGTAATGCTATTAAGTTCAAACACAGGATTAATTAGAGGGTCTGTTCCCCTTGCTTTGTTCCACTTATGGCACAAACTTCATTTTGACCTCTAGCCATCCACCTAATGACTACATGCTGCTACTCACAATGGGTAACAACTGAATACACTGTAGATGCAAGTCCACCACAAAATGGGGAAAACATTAAAGCCTCTACTTTCTGGATGCTGTGACACAAGTTCCAACTTCATGCAAAAGGGTCAGCACAAATGTTTCAGACTCCTTACTGCAGGTGCTTCAGGGTTTGCACCACTAATGCCTAGGTGACTAAGAAATTTTCAGTCACATTTAGCAGATGTTAATGTCACATAAAAAGAACAAAAGAGACAGACTGGATATTACAATATTGGGTAGTTTGTGTGGCTGGCCACATAAAGACCTACATACCTCTCCAGCACCACTCACCTGGAGAAGCAGATAAGGATGCCAGCTACTACAGCTTGGCCTACAGCTGCACTGCCCCATAACAAGACTTTTCACTTGACACCTAACTCCTGACAGGGCTCTGCATCCTTACATCAGTAACAGAAGCTGGTTGGGGATGAAAAATTGTTAATTGCAACTTCTGAAAACCTTTTCAGAAATAAACTTTTCCTCTATTCCAAATCTCAAGGTCTTCAACTAGCCTAATGTAGAGCTTGAGGGGTGTTAAAGTTAGGTCGAGGCTCAGCCACACGTTCCTCCTCTTCTGGGCCGTCATCTTCCATGTCAGAGAATCCCATCTCATCTTGGAATGTGGGCAAAGGAAAAGGAGAGTTTTCCTGGGGAATGGGCCTCTGAATGATGCTCCAGTATTGAGAAGAAAGAAGTAAAAACTATAAACAAAACTTTAATAATGTTGGGACCCAGAAAGAGCCTATGTCAGAATGTTTTTCACCTCAGGATTCCCATAACCCCACACTTGGGATGGCTACAATGCTAGGAAAGAAGGTGCTCAACCAGTCAACTTGTAACAGTAAAGACAGAGCATGGGTAACTCAAAATGATCAATCTCTTAAACAGAAATATCTCCTGAGACCAATTTATGGCAAAGGTAATTACTTGTATGCAAAATAGTTTAAAACTAGTTGGTAATCTTTAAGGACACACCAAATGATAGTAGGGGAAGCCATCAAAAGTTTTAAGGGGCCAGATGTGCTGGCTCACACCTATAATCCCAGCACTTTGGGAGGTTGAGGCAGGAAGACTTGAGCCCATGAGTTCCAGAATATGATGAGACCCTGTCTCTACAAAACACAAAAGAATTGGCCTGGCTTGTAGTCCCAGCTACTCAGGAGGCTTAGATGGGAGGATCACCTGAGCCCAGGAGGTTGAGGCTGCTGTGAGCTGACATTTCACCACTGTACTCTCCAGAACGTGGGTGACAGAGTGAGACTATGCCTTTAAAAAAAAAAAAAAAAAAAGAAAAGAAAAGAAAGAAAGAAAAACAGCTTCAAGGAAAATTTTAATAAGAATAACCTACATGTGGATAATCAAGAGTCTATTAGGTAGCAAATTTCCCTTGTTGTCATAGTCTTTACCAGGTGGACTAAAAGGAGAATTGGTTTGGTCAGACTCTCCTCTTCTAGAGGGAGCCTCACAGAGACCAAAGGACACATTTTGTTGGAGAACCAACTTACAATCCCATGTTCCTACTTGAGCTTCATTACTCACAGTGTCAAACAGATCTTCCATCAGCTCATTTTCTTCCTTTTCTGCAAAAAAGCCAAATAGTATGTTGTCGATGTAAGTCAGATTCATTTTACAATAAGCAGGAATTCCATGAATACAATGCATGATATTTTCTTCTTTTTTTTTTTTTTTTTTTTTTGAGATGGAGTTTCGCTCGTTACCCAGGTTGGAGTGCAATGGCGCGATCTTGGCTCACCGCAACCTCCGCCTCCTGGCTTCAGGCAATTCTCCTGCCTCAGCCTCGTAGCTGGGATTACAGGCATGCACCACCATGCCCAGCTAATTTTTTGTATTTTTAGTAGAGGCGGGGTTTCACCATGTTGACCAGGATGGTCTTGATCTCTTGACCTCGTGATCCACCCGCCTCGGCCTCCCAAAGTGCTGAGATTACAGGCTTGAACCACCGCTCCCAGCCGTATGCATGATATTTTCAACAAGGCATCTGACAAATTCTTCATATCTATCCCTTTTATTTTTGAGACAGGGTCTCACTGTTACCCGAGCTGGAGGGCAGTGGCTTTGATCTCAGCTCACTGCAATTTCTGCCTCCCAGGCACAAGCGATTCTCCCACTTCAGCCCTCCAAGTAGCTGGGACCATAGGGGTGTGCTACCATACCTGGCTAATTCTTCTTCTATAGTTTGTAGAGCCATCTCTTTCCCCATGTTGCCCAAGCTGGTCTTGAACTCCTGAGCTCCAATGATCCACCTGCCTTGGCTTCCCAAAGTGCTGGGGTTACAGGCATGCGCCAACACACCCAGCTATCCTTAATTCATTTATTCAAAAATATTTATTGAGCACTAACTATACTAACTATGCTTCAATCCGTTTTAGACACTTGGGATATATGAGAGAATAAGAGAGAGAGAGAGAAAGAAAGAGAGAGAGAGACTGTTAGTTCTATTCTCAGGAAGCTAAAATTCTAATAAGGAAGAAGACCAGGAGAAAATGTGAGCTAGATGATTTTACGAGTAGACGGCATATCCAAACCCACACAGTACTGAATGGAATCAAGAGACGAGTCTCCCAGCCTGGGCAAAATGTCAACATATCCACAAAAAAATTTAGCTGGGCTTGGTGGTACATACCTACAGTCCCAGATACTTGAGAGGCTGAGGTGAGAATCTCTTGGGTCCAAGAGGCAGAAGTTACAGTGAGTCGAGATCGTGTCACTGCATCATTTCAGCTTGGGTGAGAGAGCAAGACACTGTCTCCAAAAAAGAAAAAAAAAAGAGAAAGACAAGCTTCCAACAATGTTTCACAGGACCCTGTCTTTGGACCTGAACTATTCAAGAACTCCATCAGGGACTGAGAAGACCCAGAGAACATACTTAACAAATCTGTAGATGACGTAAAGCAGAAAGGGACTGCAAATCCAATTGATCGAAAATTCAAAATTATATTTTCTCAAAACTGGATAGAACATATGAGGATAAATTTAAAGTTCTACATTTAGGATTTTTTTTTTTTTTTAAATAGAGATAGGGACTTGCTATGTTGCCCAGGCTGGTCTCAAACTCCTGGGCCCCAACGATCCTCCCACTTCATACTCCCAAAGTGCTGGGATTATATATGTAACTCACCACACCCAGCAATATCTTACACATGTATACAAGATATTACACAACTCATTAAGTCTCCAGATGAAGACCAGAATCTCTAAATATAGTTTGACAATGCCCAATGACAGACTAAATGAAAAATTAGGAGGCAGCTTGATCTTTTTTTTTTTCCTCAGAGTTCTTGTTCTGAGTTCTCACTCTTGTTCTATAAATTTTCAAAGCCGAAATGATTATCATGTTAATGGGTAAAGAGCTTCAAATCTTTATCTCATTTTTAAAACTTTTATTCATTTGTTTTACCTATGTGTTCCTCTACAATGGGTATCTAGGAAGGTAATGACCATTCTAGCCACCCAGCATTCTGGTTTTTGGTATCAGGTAAAATGAGTGTTCTGATCTCTGACACACAAAGCTATTTTATTTAGAAGATAAAAATATATTTGGTCAAAAACCATGTTATGTTTGTCTCTACATCTTGACTAGTTAGAACATGTTAAAGGTTTTCGGCCAGGATACTATTAGACCTAAAATTATCAGAAGATTCTTTTAGTCCTGGCATTATGGATAAATTTTTCCCAACATAAAAAATATCCAACAGGCCAGGTATGGTGGGTCATGCCTGTAATCACCTGTAATCCCAGCACTTTGGGAGGCCGATCATTTGAGGTCAGGCGTTTGAGACAAGTCTGACCAACATAGCGAAACCTCATCTCTACTAAAAAAACAAACAAAAAAATTAGCCAGGTATGGTTAGCTAATTAATTAGCCAGTGGTGGTATGTTTCTGTAGTCCCAGCTACTCAGGAGGCTGAGGCGGGTGGATCACCTGAGGTCAGGAGTTCAAGACCTGCCTGGCCAACATGGTGAAAACCCATCTCTACTAAAAATACAAAAATTAGCTGGGTGTGGGAGCACACACCTGTAATCCCAGCTACTCGGGAGGCTGAGGCAGAAGAATCACTTGAACCTGGGAGGCAGAGGTTGCAGTGAGCCGAGATCATACCACTGTACTCTAGTCTGAACGACAAGAGCAAAAATTCCATCTAAAAAAAACAAAACAAAACAAAAATTTGACAAGCATGATGGAACACGCTTGTACTCTCAGCTACTTGGGAGGCTGACACATGAGAATCGCTTGAACCAAAGAGGTGGAGATTGCAGGGAGCTGAGATTGCACCACTGAACTCCAGCTAGGGTGACAGAGCAAGATTCCAGCTCAGGAAAAATGTTTTTAAAAATGTATACAAAGAGGGAGTTCAAAACCAGCCTGGGCAACAAAGTGAGACTCGGTTTCTTCAAAAACAAAGAAAAATTGGCTGAATATGGTGTTGTGAATCTGTACCCATCTACTCAGGAGGCTGAGTGGGAAAACAGCTTTACCTCAGTGTTTGAGGTTGCAGTGAGCTATGACCACACCACTGCACTCCAGCTTGGATGACAGAGCAAGACCCTGTCTTAAAAAAAAATTTTTTTTTAGGTATTCAAGAGGATATGCATAGATTATATGCAAACAGTCTACATCTTATATAAGGGACTGGAGCATCCATGGATTTTGGTATCCTCGGGGAACCAAACCCTCACAGATACCAAGGGACAACTGTATATCCAAACCAAATTCCTAATTTCTCTACTGCCTACAATGTGCTTCTCCCATAGTGTTCCTCATCAAAGAAAAAAGCATCCAACTGCTCAGGCCATCACTGAGGTCATCCTTGACTTCTCTTTTACTCTGATCCCACATCCAAACCATCAGCAAGTTACTATTTCCACAACCTTCAAAATATATCCCAAATCCACCTACCGGTACACTCTAGGTTCAACCCCACAATCAGCTTGTGCCTCAACTATCACAATGGCGTCTCAACGTGATTGCATCATTCTTGTCTTTCAAAGTGTATATATTAGATCGAGTCACTTCCCTGCTTCCTATAAAACCTAAAATACAAAACTAGGTATCTAGTCAAGTCTTTAAGTCCCTATGTTATCTGGTCCCTGGCTACTTCCTCTATCACCTAACATCATTCCCCTCTTTTAAAGTTTTTTTTTTTTTTTTTGAGACAGAGTCTTGCTCTGTCACCAGGCTGGAGTGCAGTGGGTGTGATCTCAACTCACTGCAATATCTGCCTCCTGGGCTCAAGCGATCATTCTGCCTCAGCCTCCCAAGGAGCTGGGACTACAGGTATGCACCACCACGGCCGGCTAATTTTTTACATTTTTTTGTAGAAACAAGGTTTCACTATGTTGCCCAGGCTAGTCCATAACTCCTGGGTTCACGAAATCCCCCCACCTCAGCCTCTCAAAGTGCTGGGATTATAGGTGAGAGCCACCACGCCTGGTGGACACAAACTATTCTTCAGACCACTACTGGCTATGGGCCTGGTGGACACAAACTATTCTTCAGACCACTACTGGCTATGGCAAGTTTCTCCCCTCCCTCACCCCACAGACACATGCTGTATAGAACATGCCATTACCGCTCTTTCCCAACAAGTAACTAAGGGCTCCCAATCCCTAAAATACACACACATATCAACCTGCAAGGAATCTCCCAACATTTATTCAAGAAATAAGCTCACTTATAGGGGAACGCCATTACACTTACACAAATAAAGGCAAACTCTTCCGGAAACACTTTCCATCCTCGCACACACACTCAAACACAGCCGCTACACACCAACAGACCATCTGTCTTCTAGATCAAAAACATCTCTTTCCATGTACAAACTAACCAGCGACATTTATTAAGCTCGCAACACTGAGATCATCCCGTCGTTCCTACGTACCGTTCAACGCGGCAGGGACACCACAGACCTTGTCGTACAGGTCAACTCCCCTCTCAAGATCGTGTCCTCCAACACGCTTATCCTTTAATCAAACACACACAAACTGGACTATGGGGGAGGCTCCGATCATGCCTACAAACACAAACTAACCCGTCAGGGGCACAGCGACTCCGCCTCCACTCGCTTACTTTCCAGCCCCCTCCCCGGAGCCGCGAGTCCGCCCGTCAGGGACACCCCTTCACCCCGCCTGGAGGGACTTCCCGGTAGGCTCAGGAACCCCCTCCCTGCTCTCCCTTCCCCCATCTTCACCACTGCTCTCCCGGAGGTCCAGGTCCGGGAGATGACAGTGGCTCCCAGGAAGCCCAGGATTCCATCGCTGAGAGAGTGCTTAGGCCCCGAGGCCTGCCCAAACCGTTCTACTCACCGTGTCGGAGGCCCAGGCCGAGAGCGATGAGAGTGCAGGGAAGTGGGGAAGGGGGGTGGCCGCCAGGCTCCTGGGTTCACGGCGGATTCCTCCCGCTTGTCAGGAGGCGGCCGGAGGGTGAGCGGACTGGCGGAAATGCGAGAGAGGAGAAGGGAAAGGTGGAGGGCTAAGGGGGGCAAACTGAGGGGAGGCGGGTCCCGCAGCCGAGACTGGGATCGTCTCCCCCTCCGCAAAGCGAACCCAAAATGGCCGCAAGAGCGGCGGCAGCTCCTCCAGAGGGAGGGAGCGAAGGGCGCCTCGCGCCCCTCCACCTCGCATTCCTCTCTCTTCCCGCTTTTCCCCACCGTCCCCCGCTCCGCCCGACTCTGGCCGCGTAGCGCGCACCCCTGCCCGCACGCGTACAAGTGTCTTCGGGCTCGTAGCTAGCTGCTCCCACCAACCATCACCTTCGGCCGCCCCGCGCGCCAGCCAGACGGTACGCGCCCACCCAGGGACGCTTCCTCGTGCGGTCCCACAAACTCGCACAGGTCCTCAAGCGTACCCTCAGCAGCGCGAGCCTAAACCTCCTCCTGCTCCTCTGCCTCCTCTTCTCCCCCGTACTCCGCCCCCAAGGCCACCAACCGTCGCCGGCCCCCAGCACCCTCCAACCCTCGCGCGAGAGCCTCCCACAATTCCCCTCGCGGGAAGGTTCCATTCCTGTCGGCTGCAGGGGTAGGAGAGGAAGTGACAGGCAAAGGGACAGGCAAAGAGAGTCGGGACTTGCCGTTTGACTGGAATTGCCAGGCTGGCGGGTCTAGCATCACGACAACCTATCTCCCTGGGCTCGTCGGCGCGACGATGCGGCTCGCCTCCCCCTGCTCCTCCTCCTCCTCCTGACCGCGGCGAGCGGATAGAGGCGGTCTATCGCCCCTCTGCCGGCCGGCGGTTGGAGGCCGCGGCGGCTGCGCGTTGAGTCGTTTCCTGCCGGACAACCAGAGCCTTCTTCCGACTGTGGCTTTGGAGGCGGCCTCAGTCGGTGTGTGAGGTCGTCTCGTTAGGAGAACTCGTCCTCGACTCACGGTGAGGGACGGTGTCCGTACCGGCAAGAGGGTTGTACCGCTGAGGGAAAGGAGCTGGATTCCGAACCTCCAGGAGGTAGGGAGTGAGTGAGGCCAGTAGGACCGGCGCGCTTTTCGGGGGATTCTCCCGGACGCTGAGTTGCCAACCTGGGATGGTACCCGAGGAAGTTCGGCTTGTTGGTCTGCTTTTTGTTGTTGTTAAGCTGGCTCAGATTTCTCGATTTTCACATCCCATTTGCGATGATGTTTGTTTGCTCTTGACGCACTCCTCATGGATGGTACTTCCTCACTCTTTAGCCTGATGATGACAGAGGATGAAGAAACCATGTGCTTCTCATTTCAGTTCTGGACTCAGTCCCCCTTGTCTTCCTCCACCAAGTTATTTTTCTTAGTTCCTTATCAAAAAGTATACGTAAAGATTAGGCAAGTCCAAGGCCGTGCGCGGTGGCTAACGCCTGTTATCCCATCATTTTGGGAGTCCGAGGCGGGCAGGTCACGAGGTCAAGAGTTCGCGACCATTCTGGCCAACGTGGTGAAACCCCGTCTCTACTAAAAATACAAAAATTAGCTGGGAACGGTGGCGCGTGCCTGTAGTCGCAGCTATTCGAGAGGCTGAGGCAGCAGAATAGTTTGAACCCGGAGGTAGAGGTTGCAGAGAGCCGAGATCGTGCCATCACTGCACTCCAGCCTGGCGACGGAATGAGACTCCGTCTCAAAAAAAAAAAAAAAAAGTTGATGTCTGGCTAGGTGTGGTGGCTCACAATTGTAATCGCAGGATTTTGGCAGGCCGAGGCAGACGGATCATTTGAAGCCAAGAGTTCAAGACCAGCCTCTCATTTATTCATGACCTAAGAGTAGAATTAAAAAAAAAAAAACCAGCCTGGCCGACATGGTAAAATGCAGTCTCTACTAAAAATATAAAAATTAGCTGGGTATGGTGGCACACACCGGCAACCCCAGCTACTTGGGAGGTTGAACCCAGGGGGTGGAGGTTGCAGTGAGCCAAGATCACACCACTGCACTCCAGCCTGGGCGACAGAGCGAGAGTCCATCTCAAAAAAATAAAAAAAATAAACGTCTAGGTCCCACTACCAGAGACTGTGATTTAATTGGTATGAGGCACAATCTGTTTATCAGAGTTTTTAAACTATACCCAGGTGGGCTGAGCACCGTGGTTCACGCCTATAATTCCAGCACTTTGAGAGGCTGAGGTGGGCGGATCACTTCAGCTCAGGAGTTTTGAGACCAGCCTGAGCAACATAGTGATATCCTATCTCTATAAAAAAGATACAAAAATCAGCTGGGCGTAGTGGTGTGCACCTGTAATGTTAGCACTTTGGGAAGACCAAGGTGGACCGATTGCTTGATCTCAGGAGTTCCAAGACCAGTGTGAACCACATGTGAAACCCTGTCTGTACAAAAAAAAAATTACAAACTATACTCAGCTAATTCTAACATGCAGCTATGGTTGAGAGCCACTGATTTAGGCTATACTGAGGTAACTATCCTGTTAAATAGTTGTATCAATGACTTGAATTAGATTAATGAGGATATAATTTTTAAATTTATGCCTTTTGCAAAATCTTTAAAGAGTAGGTAATATGTCAGTGATAGATATAAAGAAAGAAAAACATCTCCAGATGTGGAACCTTCTACTGGATCCTGTAACAGAAAGAAGACATTAGGTTGGTACAATGGCTCACACCTGTAATCCCAGCAGTTTGGGAGGCAGAGGAGGGTAGATTGCTTGAGCTCAGGAGTTTGAGACCAGCCTGGGCAACATGGTGAAACCCCATCTCTACAAAAGACACAAAAATTAGACAGGTGTGGTGGCACACGCTTTTGTAGTCTGAGCTACTTGGGAGGCTGAAGCAGGCGGATCAAGGCAGAGGTTGCAGTGAGCTGAGGTCACGCAATCATACTGCAGCCTAGGTGACAGAGCGAGACCCTATCTCAAAAAAAAGAGATTAGTAGAAAGGCTGAGGAAATCCAAATAAAGTCTGCAGTATAGTAAATAGTATTACCAGCTTTAATTTCTTAATTTTGAAATTGTACTGTGGTTATATGTGTATAACATTAAGGAAAGCTGAATGAAAATTGTAAGAAAGCACTTTGTACTACCTTTGCAACTCTACTGTAAGTTTACTTTTTGTTTGTTTGTTTGCTCTGAGACAGGATCTCACTCTGTTGCCCAGGCTGGAAGGCAGTGGTGCAGTCCTGGCTCACTGCATCCTCAAGCTCCTTGGCTCAAGGGATCCTCCCACTTCAGCTTCCTAAGCAGCTAGGACTACAGGCACATGCCACCACGTCCTGCTAATTTTTTTTTTTAATTTTTGACTGAGCCTCGCTCTGTTGCCCAGGCTGGAGTGCAGTGGCACTTTCTCAGCTCCCTGTAACCTCCGTCTCCTGGGTTCCAGCGATTCTCGTGCCTCAGCCTCCCAAGTAGCTGAGATCAAAGGCACCTGCCAACACGCTTGGCTAATTTTTTCTTTTCTTTTTCTTTTTTTTTTGTTTTTTGACACAGCGTTTCACTTTTATTCAGGCTGGAGTGCAATGGCGCGATCTTGGCTCACCGCAACCTCTGCCTCCTGGGTTCAAGCAATTCTCCTGCCTTAGCCTCCCGAGTAGCTAGGACTACAGGCACATGCCACCATGTTTAGCTAATTTTTTGTATTTTTTTTTTTTTTTTGCGACGGAGTTTCGCTCTTGTTACCCAGGCTGGAGTGCAATGGCACGATCTCGGCTCACCACAACCTCTGCCTCCTGGGTTCAGGCAATTCTCCTGCCTCAGCCTCCTGAGTAGCTGGGATTACAGGCATGCGCCACCATGCCCAGCTAATTTTTTGTGTATTTAGTAGAGACAGGGTTTCACCTTGTTGACCAGGATGGTTTTGATCTCTTGACCTCGTGATCCACCCGCCTCGGCCTCCCAAAGTGCTGGGATTATAGGCTTGAGCCACCGCGCCAGGCCAATTTTTTTATTTTCAGTAGAGATGGGGTTTCACTATGTTGGACAGACTGGTTTCAAACTTTTTTTGGGGGGATGGAGTTTCGCTCTTGTTGCCCAATCTGGAGTGCAATGGCGCAAACTGAGTTCACTACAACCTCTGCCTCCCAGGTTCAAGCGATTCTCCTGTCTCAGCCTGCTGAGTAGTTGGGATTACAGGTGTCTGCCACCATGCCCAGCTAATTTTTTTAATATTTTTAGTAGAGACGGGGTTTCACTATGTTGGCCAGGCTGGTGTTGAACTCCTGACATCAGGTGATCCTCCCACCTCAGCCTCCCAAAGTGCTGGGATTACAGGTGTTAGCCACAGCACCCAGCCTCAAACTCTTGACCTCAAGTGATCTGCCCGCCTCGGCCTCCCAGAGTGTTGGTATTACAGGCATGAGCCACCACACCTGACCAGTTTTTTTAAAATTATTATTATTAGTAGTTTTTATTATATCCTGTGTTGCCCAGGCTGGTCTTGAACTCCTGGTCTCCCAAAGTGCTGGGATTACAGGCCTGAGCCACCATGCCCAACCTCCACTATCTAATTTTAGAACATTTGTATCATCCCCAGAAGAATCCTGTCAGTAGTCACTTTCCATTTCTCCTTCAGCTAGCCTCTCCTAACCACTAAATCAGTTATGTAATCAATAACCAAATTGTGGACCTTGCATGTAATTGAGATCATACTATATGTAGTCTTTTGCAACTAGCTGCTTTTACTTTGTTTTCAAGGTTCATCCACATTGTGTCATGCATCAGAACTGTGTTTTGTATTGCCAAATAATATTCGATGATATGGCTATACCACGTTATGTTTATCCATTCATCAATTGATGCACATGTGAGGTATTTGCACTTTTTGGGTATTATGAGTAATACTGTTATGAACATTTGTGTACAAGTTTAGCGTACATATGCTTTCATTTCTCTCTTATACCTGAGAGTGGGATTGCAGGTTCATATGGTAACTCCATGTTTTGCCTTTTGAGGAACTGCCAAACTTTTCCAAAGTGGCCTCACCATTTAAAAAATCCCAATAGCAACATATAGGAATCCCAGTTTTTCCAGATTGTGTTCAACACGTGGTATTATCAGTTTTTTTATTTTAGTCATCCTAGTGGGTGTGAAGTGTTATCTCATTGTGGTTTTTATTTGCATTTTCTTAATGACTGATAATGTTGAGCATCTTTTCATGTGGTTATTGGCCATTTGTATAACTACTTTGGAGAAATGCCTACTCAAATATTTTGCCTTTTTATTTTTCTAATTTGAGGTAGGGTCTTAATCTGTTGCCTGGGTTGAAGTGCAGTGGTGTGATCACAGCTCACTGCAGCTTCAAGCTCCCAGGCCCAGGCGATCGTCCCACCTCAGCCCCCCAAGTAGCTGGGACCACAGCTGCATGCTACCATGCCGGCTAATTTTTTTTAATTTTTGGTAGAGGACAGATCTCATTATGTTGCCCAGGCTGGTCTCAAACTCCTGGGCTTAAGCAATCCTCCTGCCTCAGCCTCCCAGAGTGCTGGAATTATAGACATGAGCCACTGCACCTGTCTCTTTTGCCCATTTTATTATTTTATTTTAATTAATTAATTAATTTATTTTGAGACGGAGTTTCACTCTTGTTACCCAGGCTGGAGTGCAATGGCGCCATCTCAGCTCACTGCAACCTCCGCCTCCTGGGTTCAGGCAATTCGCCTGCCTCAGCCTCCTGAGTAGCTGGGATTACAGGCACACGCCACCATGCCCAGCTAATTTTTTTGTATTTTTAGTAGAGACGGGGTTTCACCATGTTGACCAGGATGGTCTCGATCTCTTGACCTCATGATCCACCCACCTTGGCCTCCCAAAGTGCTGGGATTACAGGCGTGAGCCACCGTGCCTGGCCCTTTTTATTTTTATTTTTTGAGACTGACTGCCGCTCTTTTTGCCCAGGTTGGAGTGCAGTGGCATAATCTCGACTCAGCACAACCTCTGCCTCTCAGGTTCAAGCGATTCTCCTGCCTCAGCCTGCCAAGTAGCTGGGATTACAGGCATGCACCACCATGCCTGGCTAATTTTGTAATTTAGAGGAGATAGGGTTT